CCAGTCGCAGCATCAGCTTCACTATTTGAAGACACCATTTGTTTTAATTTCTGGCGATCCATTATTAAGCTTTGGCAATGGACTAAACTACTCGGACTCTGCTTGTAGTAAAAGTTGTTTCTTGCTTTCTATTGAAAATAAATTGGTTGGTACGATATACCTCTAGCAAAGAACCTGATTTTCTAACACACAATCAGACTGATTGATAGTTTTTAAATATTTTTCAATTGAAGTTAAATTTAATTCGAATTTTGACTTCTATTTAGCTTGCTTATTTAAATATACAAAATTCATTCAATTTACAGAAATTAATATTTTTCCCAAATACTGAGGGGGGAAAAGGAAATAAAAGTAAGAGACCTTTAAGTCTATTTTCTTTGTGAACCATAACATAGATTGCTGAAAAGAATCTATTTGGGAAAATTCTTTATCATAATTTACAGTATCGACAATTTCCAAGATTTATATAATTTAATAATAAATAGGGCATCAAATTTATCAATATTTAACATACTGAAAATTTTTGTTCATTTGAAATGTTTACAATTAGAGGTGTTTTTGAATAAACTTTTCTTAGAAACCCTACAAGCTGGAAAATATATTGGACTCTTTGGTATTAAAGTCCTTAGCGATACCACTTAGTGCAATTAATAGGGTGTGATCGCAAATCACCAATAAGGTGACTATAACTAAGTATTCCTGGTTCTGCTCCCAATCAGAAAATGTTTTTTCCCGGGTTTAATAGTCACTGATCCATCAGTGTCACAATAATTACTTTAAATCATTACTATTACGAACTGTTACGATAATAACGAACTACAAAATTTATAAGAAATCTCTTGGAAGAATTGTAGCAGGCTCTTCTTACCTTACAGATGTTGTCTTTCCGAAAAGTTATTTCTGTTTTTACCATAAAATCGTTGTATACGCGGTTGATGACAATTTTGATGACAGTCTGGATCTTCAGTGGTGAATATGTGCATATTTTATCGAATTCGTTATCTATCTCGATTTGTAAACAATCAATGCGCTCAGAAGCCCAGAACTTATGGAACTCCCTTTCGGTTTCAGTGAATCAATGGATTGTTTCTATTTAAATACATTTTATAAAAATGCGTTGTGCGCTGTAGTTGGTAATATAATCCGATATAGTCCGATTGTCAGTATAAAATTTTTATTGTATATAATTTTTACACTTTAAATTTGACCAATAAAAGTTTTCATTACTTTTAGCTTCTAATTTTATAGGTTCAAAGTCTTGAGACTGCCACTTGTAGTCCAACAATTATACTGACTTAAAAACCAAAAACAATTTTGCTTAGGTATTAAATAAGACATTTTGTTATTATATTTCACTACTATTCAAAAATCGATCTATAAACATTTATAGTCGTTTTTTCTTTTGAAACGACTACATATTTCTTTTGTATAGAAGATGTTTCAATAATGTGATTGCCAATATGACTACGTGATATATAATTATTAGCAGTTTAATGCAGCATTAGATCTGTTTTCAATTTTTTAGCCATCCATGATCACATCCATGAAAGTGAAACCTTCAGCGTTTTGATACCAGACCTTTGTCCAACCATCTGTATTTACTTCTTGTTACTGTTTGGTATGTGGACATGGATTAATGTCTGTTGATTGACTTGTCCAAAGTCTGCTTTTTCAAAATTTAGAGCTTTGAATTTTTGTAACCCTACTTTATTGATCTGCGCTACTTTTCGGCATACAAATCCGTTGATGGCATGATTTAAATAATTTTAAGGGGATCTGCTGACTTTAAGAGTAGCCGCTGCACTTGAAGCAACCAATAAAGAGTTTTTTTCTAGTAAAATTTTTTATATTATCTTATCTGCTGCATTCTAGGACTTATGGTGTTTTTATAAGGTCGTAGTAACATTTGCTTATTGATTGGGTTTTCACAAGGGGAGAAACCCTTTTAATAATAATATAAGAGAATCAATAATAACTACGTCCTCTGATAGTACTAGTAATTGAAATAATTTGATTTCAGTTTATTTCGTATTTACCTGTCATTCCCATATTTATTTATCTCACTTTTATTTTTCCCACATATATTAATATTTCATCGCAGACAGATCAAGTATTTGCTGTTTAAACATTGGTCCGACAACTTTAAATAATTTTATTCGCAAATTACCTGACTTCATAACAGATAAGTAATAGTAGGTTTTTTACTTAATGAAAGGTTTCAATGTGTCCACTACATAAATAAATAGATCATAAGGAATATTCGTATGGAAATAACACGTTCTAGAATAAGAGTAGATTAAACACAAAGTCCAGAAAGTCCAGGTTTACAATCTGTGATAACAAGTTTTATAATCAGATTTTAATCCAGTACTCTTGTTTTTATTTTTAAGTTATATATAAATAATAATGACACTTCAAATATATTTGTTTTTTATGACAAAAAAGAACAGTCAAATCAACTTAATAAAAAATTTTCGATAAAAATTTCTTAATATTTTCATAAGAATTTGACTGATATATATACTGGAGATCCTATGAGAAGAAGAGAAGCCAATCGTCTCTCTAATGTAATCAGGAAAAAAATTGGCAAATATAATAATGATAAATGGTGCGAATTTCTTTCAGGAATTGATACAGGTAATAAAACCTTCTGGGCTTTGAACAAGTATTTTAGGCTTAAACGTAAACCGGTAGTGCCGCCTATTTATGTAGCTACCGGCATGGCTTTCTCAGACATAGCCAAAGCTGAGGCCTTTGCAGATTCTTTGGAGCTGCAATTTCAGCCCAATACTGATAGTGACTATAATTCTCTGGTAGAAGAAAATATTGCCGAAGAGGCTGCTAATCTTAGGAACCTGATGTCAGATGAAAGCATCTTACAGTGTTCCAGAGATGAGATTAAATGTATTATTTCGAGTCTAAAGACCAGATCGGCACCCGGATATGATAATATCAGTAACAAATGCCTACGTAATCTTCCAGAAGATGCAATCCAATGCATTGTTAACATCATCAATTGCATGCTTAGGCTTGGCGAATTTCCAAAGGCCTGGAAGTTGGCCTCAGTCGTAGTGTTTCCTAAACCGGACAAGAATCCTTCATTTCCGCAGAACTGGCGTCCTATCAGTCTGCTCCCAACTATGGGGAAATTGGCAGAACGTGTAATCCTGACTAGGCTTAAAACAGCGGTAAATGCCCTAAATATACTTCCTGACGAACAATTCGGGTTTAGGGATAATCTCTCCACGGAACTACAACTAGCCAGAACTGCGCAGCTGATACAAACCGCTCTAAGTAAACGGGAGTCAACCGGGATGATTATATTTGACATAGCCAAAGCTTTTGACAAGGTCTGGCATGATGGTCTAATAGTCAAACTAGCCCGTTTTGGGATCCCTAGTGGTTTGACTAAAATCATTGGTAGCTTCCTGCAAGAAAGGTCCTTCCGTACTAAAATTAATAGCACTCTTTCGTCCGCCCGATCAATTGTAGCAGGTGTACCTCAAGGGTCGCCTTTGTCTCCCACATTGTTTAATGTATACACGGCAGACATCCCCACCTTAAGTCCCACATCAATGGCGCTTTACGCAGACGACACATGCTTGATCTACTCGGATCGGGATGCCATAAATGTAAGCAACACGTTACAGGGAAATATAGACCTTATGGTGGAATACTTCCAAAAATGGAAGATTAAAATTAATAATGACAAAACCAAGGCTATATTTATAACTCGAAAAAGAAGACAGCATCCTCCAAGAGTGAGCGTTTGCGACACGGATACGGTGGGAGGATAACATAAAATATCTGGGGGTCACTTTTGACAAACGGTTCAATTGGCTTAAACATTTGAAATACAAACGGAATAGCTGCTCTAAGATTCT